AATATTGCTTAAGATTTTGTTTTCGGGAAGTATCCTGCCTTCAGGTGCTCAGAGTCCCTACTTAAAAGTTCACTGGTTAAAGTCCGACGGTCTATATTTTTGCATTTATCCTCTCATCAGCTTTGAAGTAAATACGCGCTTGGACCCTGCACACAGAGGGAAGGATTCCTACCGGTTCTCATGACCAAGTTGTTGGCTTCGCTATCAGCCTAAACGCTTTGATAAGAGCAGCAAAGTTTTGATTTTTGTCATTTGTAAAGTGACCTGGTATAGGAAGAGAGTGAAGAGATTTTTGCTTCTTCCAAAGAGATTTACAAAATCCTTTCCGATTGCAAATGGACTGCTGAAAGCGTTGGATTTTGAACAGGTTCAGTCAGCTCTATACTTCTGTGAAGTCCACTTCCATTCGAAATTATGGGGAACCGAGAGAGTGTAAGTACAGCGAGTCTTCTGTTTTCAGCTGAGAGGAACGTCAAAGTCGCACATAGGCGACTGGATAGAGTAGTACTGGTTCAGTTTAGTCAAACCTCAGATTCAGGTCAATACTGCCAAGCTGCACGACAGGTTCAACACCGCATCCAATAGAGATTATGCATCCAATCTCGTCATCATTTTTCTTCAGCAATTCGCGGAAATCAGAATTATTCTTCATACTCAAGGAGGACAACATCGAAATGAGTCGAAACTCACAATTTCTTTATGTCTTTCAAGTTTTTGAAGTCTAAAGAAGTCGGTAATCAAGGCCAGGCATGGATTATTGCAGGAAACTGCACCATCAACCAACCCATGATAGGATTCGAAGAAGACCGGTGCGGCCCTTAAATAATGTCTATTTCATCGATGTGATAGGAACCGGTAGAATGCAGTTGCCCATAAATCCATTAAACAGTTGAAGATGGTTCCTTTGTTTGCTTAGGTTTTTCCCGTAGAATCTGGTCTATCAAAGAGCACGCATGAGCACACTTCGGAGTAAAAAGTTGGCCTTGACAGTTCAAACTGTGGTTTATTCTAAGACATCAAAACAAGAAGAGAGAAGCCCTTTTTAGCATTTGTTGCTTCACAATAGCGCAACGCTGCTTACTACAGGGCTCTTTAAGGCATTGTACGCTCTTCCTTGAGAGATGGGCTTTTGAATTCTGGGGAAGGATCAGCTCGAATAAAACTCACGATGTTGCTCTTGCAGCCTTCCAAGCTAGTATCTTGTCAGGATTCATGTATCCGTATTTCTCGTACTCCCTTGGTGCTAACCGTGGAGCGTAGCTGCGGAACAGAACGAGCTGGGGAGGAGCAACCTTCACCTTTGCAGCTGTAACCATAATTCTGAAATGTTCAGTCTCGCAAATGAATTCACTCTATGATGAATCTTTTCAATGATGAATGCGAAATTTCTATGCCGTTATAAACACCCTAACCTTTAAAGTACATCTCCGTGTAAGGAATACTCTGCAGAAAGTCTACTCCTGAAAATTCTACTCAATCTGCTCATATCACAGATCGCAGGCTTTTCAAAATTCGTCTGACAACTTTCCCGACGTTTAGGTTGGTAGGGAAGCGGTTGTCGCCAATCAGCTCGGAATTCATAGGAATCGTGTTAGGAAGTAGATCTTCAAGGCCAAAAGACTGGATATGTCTCAGCCGTATGCCTTTTGCAAGAAACCGGTACAGAGAAAAGTTTAAGGGTCACAACACAACAAAAATGCAGACAGTCAGACAGTGCCTCTGAAAATCGAAGAAACTACAACAACTTCTCGAACCGCGAAAGATGAGCATTTTTGTTTGAAGCTTATGCCTTGTGCATGTCCTTCTACTCGAATTTTAGTCTTTCCCTTCTCCTGCAGCAACACAAGTTCGATACGGTTTTTGGGCTACGTCATTGCAAAATTAACTTCAGCTTGTTTTCTGCTTTACATTTTTGTAGATGAACCGGGTGAAAGTGGAAGATTCGTAAATTCCGAGCACACTCGCCTTCCATAGAATCATACACATTACTCCTCTCACCTTTCTCCAAACCTTTGCCCTTATCTTCACAATTTATCTTTGGTATATTTAGAAGCAAGTAACAGACTTCCGATGGACATATGCTCTACATTCGGTAATCTACTCGAATGTACGCTGATCCTATTACTGGAAGATTCAGTCTTCTACAATCTTCCCCTGCTAGAGGTACTGCCCGTGACCCAGCCAAGAATCGAGCTTGTTAAACGGCCCCTTCTAACTTATCCTTATCTTCAGAGCTTTTTTTCGGTTAGGTATGCTGACTGAGTTGAATCTTTATTGCGCGAGCTCAACCCTCGAAAGCGTCGTCGATTCTGGAGAAGGGGAAAGATTTCGCATCAAATGAACGGGAAAAATACACCAAAATTCCATAGATATGAGCGGTTTAGCTTACCGGTGAAAAATGACTTGGAATGAAATTGAAATTGAATGCAGTTACCCCTCTAACTTGATGGATGGATAAGTAAAAATCGAAAAAGAAGCTAAGAAGAAGCTCCGCCCGTCAACTCCAAACCCCGCCCACT